AATTTACAGTAGTAATAATATTAACAACAACAGTAACGAAAATAATAATAATAGTAACAACAACAGTAACGAAAATAGTAACAATAGTAGTAATAATAAGAAGAAGAACAACAGGAACAAAAAAAATAATAATAGTAACAACAACAACAATAACAAAAATAATAATAATAGTAGTAGTAATAACAAGAACAGCAGTAACGAAATTAAAATTAACAGTAGTAATAATATTAACAACAACAGTAACGAAAATAGTAACAATAGTAGTAATAATAATAAGAAGAAAAACAGGAACAAAAAAAATAATAATAGTAACAACAGCAATAACAAAAATAATAATAATAGTAGTAGTAATAACAAGAACAGCAGTAACGAAATTAAATTTAACAGTAGTAATAATATTAACAACAACAGTAACGAAAATAATAATAATAGTAACAACAACAGTAACGAAAATAGTAACAATAGTAGTAATAATAATAAGAAGAAAAACAGGAACAAAAAAAATAATAATAGTAACAACAGCAATAACAAAAATAATAATAATAGTAGTAGTAATAACAAGAACAGCAGTAACGAAATTAAAATTAACAGTAGTAATAATATTAACAACAACAGTAACGAAAATAATAATAATAGTAACAACAACAGTAACGAAAATAGTAACAATAGTAGTAATAATAATAAGAAGAAAAACAGGAACAAAAAAAATAATAATAGTAACAACAGCAATAACAAAAATAATAATAATAGTAGTAGTAATAACAAGAACAGCAGTAACGAAATTAAAATTAACAGTAGTAATAATATTAACAACAACAGTAACGAAAATAATAATAATAGTAACAACAACAGTAACGAAAATAGTAACAATAGTAGTAATAATAATAAGAAGAAAAACAGGAACAAAAAAAATAATAATAGTAACAACAGCAATAACAAAAATAATAATAATAGTAGTAGTAATAACAAGAACAGCAGTAACGAAATTAAAATTAACAGTAGTAATAATATTAACAACAACAGTAACGAAAATAATAATAATAGTAACAACAACAGTAACGAAAATAGTAACAATAGTAGTAATAATAATAAGAAGAAAAACAGGAACAAAAAAAATAATAATAGTAACAACAGCAATAACAAAAATAATAATAATAGTAGTAGTAATAACAAGAACAGCAGTAACGAAATTAAAATTAACAGTAGTAATAATATTAACAACAACAGTAACGAAAATAATAATAATAGTAACAACAACAGTAACGAAAATAGTAACAATAGTAGTAATAATAAGAAGAAGAACAACAGGAACAAAAAAAATAATAATAGTAACAACAACAACAATAACAAAAATAATAATAATAGTAGTAGTAATAACAAGAACAGCAGTAACGAAATTAAAATTAACAGTAGTAATAATATTAACAACAACAGTAACGAAAATAGTAACAATAGTAGTAATAATAATAAGAAGAAAAACAGGAACAAAAAAAATAATAATAGTAACAACAGCAATAACAAAAATAATAATAATAGTAGTAGTAATAACAAGAACAGCAGTAACGAAATTAAATTTAACAGTAGTAATAATATTAACAACAACAGTAACGAAAATAATAATAATAGTAACAACAACAGTAACGAAAATAGTAACAATAGTAGTAATAATAAGAAGAAGAACAACAGGAACAAAAAAAATAATAATAGTAACAACAACAGTAACGAAAATAATAATAATATGAATAACAGTATGAGAACAATAATAATAAATAGTATGAATAATAATAAGAATAACAGTATGAGAACAATAATAATAATAAATAGTATGAATAATAATAAGAATAACAGTATGAGAACAATAATAATAATAAATAGTATGAATAATAATAAGAATAATAATAAGAAGAACAAGAGGAAAAAAAATAATAATGATGAAAATAAAAAATTTTCAACTGTTAATGATTCAAAATCAATGACAACTATTCAACCTGAAATAAATAAAAAAAAAAGGAAAAAAAAAAGGGATACAAAAATATTAAAAGGAGAGGCGGATGTCATGAATTGTAAAAAATTATTAACCGACACAAATAATATAAATAATTCCTTAGAAAAAAATAGTGTATCGAATCATAAATTTGACTCAACTATCAATGTAAAAAAAAAAAATTTTGTTTCTGGAAAAAAAAAATTAAATGGAGTCGTTAAGGAAAATTTTAAAAATGGTGATAGCAGTAACAGTGATAGGAAGGAGAAAAACAATGATGAAAATCAAAGTAAATATTAAATTTATTTATTTATAAATCGGGTTTATTGTTAAATAATAATAATATTCAAAAATTCCACACAGGCGATGATCAAAAATCGAAAAATAAAAAAGAAATAACCGTACCGGGAGTAACAGTGCTCGAAGTAACAGGTAAATTTGTAAATAATTGATAAGTAAAGATACGATTATTATTATTATTATTATTATTATTATTATTATTATTATTATTATTATTATTATTAATCACGACTGGTCATTAATTATTATATATTTTTTTAGGTGTAAAAAATGACGTCATATTACAGAAACTTTATCGATATCTACTCGATTATGGAATAATTGTCAATACATTTTGGAATAATTATAAACTCCTGATACTTTTTAACGATGAAAGTATACCTCCTAATATTTTGGGTGAAAATGGAAAAAAAATTAAAATCGACGACGTTTATTTATATTTTAGAGTTTACACATCGAAGGCGATAAAAAAATGTACTATTTTTTTTTTTGTGGGGAGGGGAGGGGAGCGAAAATAACACGACGATTTCATTTTATTTATTTTTAAATTTTTTTTGTTGAAACAATCAATAAATTTAGGTAAAAAAGATGTTAAACTCATTAAGGAAAGAAACGCTATGAAAAATTTAATGGATGAATTAATTTTGAAATCATCGTCGGAAAAATTTATAATCAAAAATAGGAAAAAAGAAAATATTCTATTGGGAAAAATGGAGGAAGCATTAAATGAAATTTATCCAAATATCGCGTTGAAAATATTCGGTTCGAGAGCAACGGGATTATACTACGATAGTAACAGCGATGCAGATATTTATTTGAGTGAGGATTTTTTGTATGTTTGCTCATTTAAAAAAAAAAAAAATGGTTCTTCCTATCCTGATAATTTTTTTTTTTTTGTTTCAGGTAATTTGTATAACGAAAAGGAGGTAATTCCGACCAGACGTTTTCTCAACGTTACTTTAAAAAAAATGAGAAGGGTCTTTAAATCAAAACGGCGACAATTTACAAAAATATGTCCCGTGAGAAAAGCAATAGTTCCCATATTGATTCTTACAGAAATTTCGACGGGTTTACAATGCGACATATCATTTAAAAACGGTTTAAGTGTAAATAATTCACGGTTGATAAAGTAAGTGAGGAAGAATCATTATTTTTTAAAAAAAAAATTTTCTTTTTATCGTTTCCTCGTATATAAAATATCATCATTATTAAATTTTTCCCTAAGGTTTTTCACGAGTTTAGACGAACGAGTCAAACCCATCATGTTATTCGTTAAATATTGGATAAAAGATTATGGTAAAAAATCAATTTTATCGAGTTTCGCACTGACTTTAATGGTCGTTTTTTATTTGCAACGATTATCTCAACCAATATTGCCAACCGTCGATGAACTCGAAAAAAAATTCGTTGGAAAACGTAACACTGTTGCCGGTTAGTACCACGACGAAAATTTAACGAATTGTTATTAACGGTTTTTTGTTTTTTAAGAAAGTGATTAAATAGTGATATCGTTTTTGTTGTTTGTTTGGAAAAATTTCAGGTTGGAATTGCGATTTCGATGACAACATTGTTAATTATGTGTACAGAATAAAAAATTCAAATTCCGTTTTAGATTTAATAAAAGGTTTTTTCGAATTTTACATTCATTTTAATTATGACGAATACGTTATATCTCCACTTGATGGAAAATTAATATCGAGGTAAGTAAGAAAAAAAAAAAAAATGTTTTTTCTCGTATAATTTTTTGTTAAAAAAAACGAAAAAAGTTTAAAATGTTTTATGGTTCGAATATTATTATTATTTTGTTTTTTGTTTTGTTTTTTTTATTCTTAAGGATATCTTTTTATTCGGAATCGATGAATGTTCCTTTATCGTACAAAAAACAATTTCACAACATGCAGTTATCGAAATTGAAAACATTATTTACTTCTCCGATGTGCATTTTAGATCCCCTAAATTTTAGTTACAATGCCGGGTCTTCGGTGTCATCACGAGGAAAAATTGAATTTATATTATTATGCACGGAGGCATTGTATTATTTGGAAAAAAATAACGACTTGAATTATTGTTTAAATGTAAATATAGTTGATAAAAAAGAATGATGACAGAGTTGTGTAGTTATAAATTTTTGATTTCTCAAAACTCGTAGATTTTGTCTACAAAACAAAAAAAAGTTACTTTTGTACACATTTAAAATATTTTTATATTGCTCACTAGATATTATTATTATTTTATAATTAATTTTTTTTTATATAAATATACGTTTTTTTTAAATAATATTTATTTAAAAATTTTAATTATTTGTAAATATACGCTTTATCTGGAAGAGGGGAGGGGAGGGGGAGGGGGCTGAACTTAATAAAATTATTTTAATTGTAATGATTATGTGGAAAGTGGAAAATTTAATAATGATGGAGGATACTCTTTTAAATTTATCTATAAAAATAATAATAATAATAATTATAAACGTGTAAATTTTTTCACCAAAATATTTTATTGCATCATTTTGACATATTTTTGGTATTAAAAATAGATAAATTAAATTATATATTCTAAAAAGAAAGTATTTTTAAAAGATATAGGCTAAGGATTTGTACCGCAAGGTCAACGTCTAGTATACAAATTTAACGTTCCCGCCATTTTTATTAGGGTATTGTTTAATGCATTCGAAAACAATATGATTTCTTTACAATCTCATAATACAAATGGCGTAAATGTAGTTTTTGCAACATATTTAAATAGATTACTTTAAAAATCGTCATAGTTTTCAAATCAATGAGTCATTAATTAAAAAAAAAAAAAAAAAAAAGATATTTTATACGGAAATAATTGCGTGAGGGAATTCACGTCCACGTGACCCTAACATTTGCTTTTATGACGTCATAGTTATTATTCGTTTTTAAGATGGAGAAAAATTACAGATATTAATTTTATAAATATATATAAATAAATAAAATTGCGTGTCAAGTGTTTTAAAATGTATCTTAAAAGTGAAAAATTAATTTCGAAAAATTTAATTGATGATGGTATATGTGTCGTACGTAATATAAATAAAAAAAAGATGCAATCGTTGAATTATATGAAAAAAAAACAAAAGCATATGTGTCAAAAGTGTAATGGCTTCTTAAGTAAAAATTTAATTGATTGTTTTGAACATATAGACATTGAAAGAATTAAATTTTTAAAAATGGTATAAATTGAAATTATTTTATTTCAAATTTATTAATTAATTAAAGTTTTAGTTAAATTAGTTTTTATTATACAATACTACACATTAATAAGTCTTGCAAAACATTAGTTTTTTTTTTTTTTTATTATTATTCCAGTAAAATTTTTTTCTTTTTTATTTGAAAATAATTATAAAAATTTCCAATGGTGTTCTCAGAAGGAGAAAAACATTTAAAATTATCAAGTGGTAGAATTGATTTATTCCAAAAGGAGTCATTATATTTAGATCATCGACCTTGTATATTACATTCTAACACTAACACAGAAAAAATGATAAGAAAACATAATTTATATGGTGGTAAGGATACTCATTCGAATATCCATCACGAGTGTCCCTCATTATTTACATCTAAAGCTTATTCGAATGTAAGCAGTTCGATACTGTCTTACATTGTCGGAGGATTTGTTGGAAGTAAGAGTCAAATGAATAACAACAAAAAACATAATATGTCATATGATCTTAGTGCAGTGATATCAAACCTATTAAATCCATGGAAATTTGAACATGAAAATACCTCATTTAAAAAAAATTGCGATAATTTGTACGGTGTTCAAAAAATTCATACCGAGACTTATGATAAATATACTATAAATAATAAAGTCGATCAACGAGATGAAAAAGAAAATAACTTGTTGGTTAACATGATGAATATAGGATGTTTAATTTCTATCCCTGTTAAAAACTTAGAAAATAATTGTGATAGTACATTTAAAAGTGAAAATTTTCAAATGAAAAATAATAGAATGAATAATTTTCAAGTACTCAAAACGAATAACACTCGTTGTTCTACTGATAATAATAAATTATCATCTACCAATATAAATAGTAATAATGTATTATTAACAAATGGTGTCGAAACGAATAGCGAAAATATTATTAAACCTGAAATCAATGGCGATTGTTTTGTAACAAATGATAACCTCATGAAAACTACAAATGAAAATGTATCAGATAAATTGAATATAAGTGAATTTGATAAATTACACGATAACAACACTACATTAAATGGCCTTATTAGCGAAAGTATAATTAGAAATAATGTCGATGAAAATAAAAAACATTTGGAAAAATTTTTAACAAATGAAAGGTTAAGAATGCAATCGGAATGTTCAGTTGAAAGTACAGATAGTGAAAGTTTTATAGTATTCGATGATAGTTTAAATGATGGAACTTTAAATAATAATGATTATTTTGTGTGCAAGCCTGATGATTATTTCGATAGCGAGAATAGCAGCAGTACTGATGATGATGATGATGATAGCAGTGATGATAGTGATGATGATTTCGTTTATGATGATGACAGCGAGGAAAATGGGAGTGCTGATGAATATGTAAGTTTTGTTTTATTACTAATATATTAAAAATAATATTTACATAACATAAATTTTATTGCCTTTCAGAGAATCATTCGCATTATTTTTGTCATGCCGATTAGGAAAATCAAAAATTTTCATTATTTATTAACATTGTAATGACTCGACGACAAGTTTTATAAATTTTCTATTTACTAATCGTTTAAAATTTTAATTTACAGGATTTTTGCTCTGTGAATATCAATGTGATAAAAGCTAATGAAAAATGGTCTAAACATTATGATGAAGTTGATGATGTAAAAAGTAAAAGTTCAAAGAAGGTAAGTGATGTTATTATTATTATTATTTTTATTAATGTTTATCTACGTGATGAGTGAGCAGAGTGAAAAATACATTTTTCGATTGTTTTTCATTGTTTTTAATTTTGTCTCAGGTGAAATTCAATAATAACGTGAAGGTAAATAAAATAATAGCCTGGGACCACGCGTATAGAAATGCCAGATTAGGACCTTGGGAACAAATGGCTCGTGACAGAGTTCGATTTCACGAGAGAATATCCCGATTATCCGACGTCATATCCCCGATATTAGGAGATAAACACAGGAGGAAAATATCGGAAAATTTAAATATTAATACGATAGGATCCGTGGAAAATTAATAGTTAATAAAACAAAGAAAATATATATATTCGTGTCGAAAAGGAAAAATGAAATTTTAGAAAGAGAAAAAAAAAAATTAAAATTAATAATTCGTACCTGAAAAAATAATAAACAAAAGTAAAGTTTTAAAATAAATAAATTAATTAATTAAAATAAAAAATTCTCTCTGATATTTAAACAATTTTTTTTTTTTTTTGTTTAAATAATTTATTTGTTATTAGAAAAAAAGAAAAGTTTATTAAGTTAACAGAATAAATATTAAAATATTTTAATTATTTTAAGTAAGAAAGAAAGAAAAATTGTTTTTTCGTTATTAATTTTATTATAAAAACAAAATAATAATAATAATAAAACGAGGAAAAAATTTATATAAAAAAAAAGTATTTCAAATAAATTTAATAAATAAATAAATAAATAAATAAATAATCTCCCGTAAATTTTATCTAGTCAAATTATTATTTAAAAAAAAAATTAAATTAAATTAAAACGGTTAGAAAGGTTTGGATACGGTCCTGACAAAAAAAAAAATTATTTGGAAGCTTTAATAAAATATATATTTTCATTTTACACAACAATAGCAAAATACTTTTATGAAATTTATGGGGATTTATTAAAATAATAATAATAATAATAATAATTATTATTATTATTGTTATTATTCATTCATTATTTTTATTATTTGTTAATTTTTTTTTTATTAATTATTGATTATGTATTTATTTTTTTTATTAAATAAGAGAAAATTTTGTGCTTTTTTTTTTTTTTTTGTTTGTGTAAAGTTCAATATGGAAAAGTTAACCGAAATTTTTTTTTTTTTTTTTTTTTTTTATTATTATTATTTTAATTAATAAAATAATTTAAATAATTTAAGGATTTAAAACCTCAAGGAAATTTTTATATATATATTAATATTAATATTACCCAAACGTATATTTAGCTTTATTATATATAATTATATTTATTAAATTTTTTTTTTATTTTTAACATTTAACGATTTAAATAAATAAATAAATAACAAAAGTTTTTTATTATTAATTTTATTGTATAATTTAAATGAGTTTGAAAAAGTGGGGGGGGGACAGGATGTGAAATAATAAAATAATAAAAAGATTTCAATATAAATTTTGTTTTATTATTATTACTATTATTATTATTAAAATATAATTTCTAAAAAAATACAATTTAATTTAAATATCTCGATGAAACTTTTATTATTTATATTTTTAACAAAATAATTTTTTTAATTAATATTTTTTATTTGAATTAATTATATTTACTACCGTTAAAAATTTTTCAGATCTTTTTGGCACTATAATATATTTATAATATATTAATATAAAAAAAAAAGAGAATGTAAACTACACAATATAATATCATTTTATAAAATTATATTATTATCTAATTAATTATTGTCAATAAATAACAATTTATTATATTTTATCAATAACAAAACATGAAATGAAATTGTTTGTGAAAAAAAAAAATGTTAGATATATTATTATTATTGTTAGTTATATTATTATTAATTAATTAATTATTCAGTTTTGTTCAGACAGATGAGGAAGAAAAATTTGTTAGTTTAAAGACAAACAAATTAATTAGCTTATTAAAAAATGGTTCTCATGACGTCATCAATCAATTTATATATATATGTACATTTTTTTTTTTTTTTTCCGTTGACTGATGAAATTTATTTTTTAAAAAGCTAATATTATTATTATTATTATTAGTATTATTAGTATTAATTTCTTTTCTTTTTTATATTATAGTGATAATTTATACTTCCTCCAAAAGTCCGAACGAATCTTCAGATTTAACAACAGCCTCTATATTGAAAAATGCAGCGTGTAGAGTTATGATGAAAAACGACGCCCCTGTATAATATAAACAAAAAAAAAATAAAAAATCAACAACGAAACACTTAATTATAATAATAATGGCTAAAAGAGTTAATCCGATCGTTCTTAAAAATGATGAATACACATCGGATGCTCGAATTCGTATTATCATAAATGAAGCACCTGAAATAAAATGTTTGTCAGTTGTAGAGATTAAATTGCTACAATAAATATGGCGAGTGAGTATTTTGTTTGTTATCGATATTTAAAATATATTATATGTTAAAGTTCAAGGTTAGAGGTATTACATATAGTGTAAATATTTTAGGTTAGATTTTATTGTTGTTTCCGAACATTGTAAAATGTTGTCGAAAGTAATTTTATTATGGCGACAAACAGAATTTAAAACTCTGTCTGGGTTTTTAATTGTAAATACGAAAAAAAAAAAATTTTATGCCATACCTATTACCCAAAAAACTGCAGCACCTGCTCCAGCCCAAATGAATAAAGGTATTGAACAAATGGCGACAACACCATATTGTTGTGCAAGAGTTAATTCATGACCTAAAATAATTGTTTTTTTTTCATTTTGTCTTTTAGATAATTTATATCCTACTCCTAAACTAACAGCTACTGCTAGAAGCAATAAGGGTGAAGTTAACCTAAGAATAGAAATTTGTTTTATTGTGAGTATTAAATTTTTTTTTTTTTTAAATTTATTAATTGAATATATATATATATATAATAAATGCTTACAAGCAATATATAATTAAACCGACAAAAACGAAAAGGTAATTTGATTGAAAATATTCAATATTTCTCATTATTCTTTTACTAAGACGAGGTAAACTAGAAGGAGTTTTAAAATTATTTGTATTTATAAATGTTGTCCAAGGCCTAACATTTTCTCTTTTTTGTCCAATCCATTCTCTGGCTGCTGGAGTTGTCATGTACAACTGCTGAGGTAATTGGAAAAAACTAGAAACAAATAAATTTTTTTTTGATTCACACATATTTATATACATAAATATTCAATAACAAAAACATTAATTGTAGTTTAAATAGTTTACTTAATGTAAATTAAATAAAGTTTATTAATTGGTATGGTTGGTATATTATGCGGAATGCTATTTGATAATATAATTAGAATCAAATTGTTTTAAAAATTCCATGAACTTTAAAGTTCATTTCTTTTTTTAGAAATTAGGACAAAAAATAAACGTATTTAACCATACCTATTTGGACTCGTAGTGGGAATGTCCATAGTCCCACTAACATTAACTTCTTCATCTCCTGTCATTTTAGAAAAATTATTTTATTTTTTTTTTTTAACTAAATTGACATAAATTTTGAATTTTTTTCTCAAACATTAGACTAAAACTGGCAATCACAGAAAACACGTATAAATAAACAATGGCGTAGGTATCTAAAATCCCCCTTTACAGATTGTAATAATTATAACAAAAAAAAATTGATAATTATAAGACGGAATACATTTATTTTAATATTTTATAAAAAAAATATTAAAGGAAATTTAAAATATGGTATATTACAAAATGAAAACATATGTTTGTTTTTTTCTTATCCTTAATGTTTACAAATAAATTTTGTATACGCCTATGATCGTGTCATTAAACTTCTAATTACACGAAGACTATATAGTCAATTTAAAAATGATATTGTCAATGTATTTGATTTGAAAATGGATTCAAACTTAAGTGAGAATTTGTATAGGAAAAAGTTAATTAAATCTAAATCTGGATTACGAATAGTTTTAATTAATCAAAAATATAAAAGTCCGTTTCTCTTGTGCGAACCTTATTGGGTACCGGATAATGAGGTGCTAAAACATTTTTAATTACATTTAAAATTAATTTTTGAAAAATATTGTTATCGTAATTAACATATTAGAGTTATATATAAATAATGCAGTGATAATAATTAATTTAATTAAAATTAAAATAAATTTTTTTTAAAATTAATTTTATAGATTTCTCATTGTACGTCCTGTAAAGGAAAGTTTAACTTCACCAAAAGAAAGGCAAGTAAAAAAATTTTTTTTAAATGGAATTTTTAAAATTTATTAACTTTCATTAACTCTATATGACCCTTATTCTCTCTATGTATAATAAAACAATTTGACCTGATTGGGTTAATTAAGTTTAAATGTAAAGCTAACTCAAATGCATAACGTAGATAAATAAATATTGATTGTATAGTATTTCTTAAAATTTATAAAATATTTAAAAATTTTAAACATTTTAATTTTTTTGTACAAAAGTCCTTCATTGGTAATTAAAAAAAATTTACACTTTTATGTAAAACAAAATTTACAAGAAAAAAAAAAAAATTTTTATTGTAAAGCTTTTTTGACAAGCAATCATTTTTTATAATGTTATCCTTTGTAACCGTCTGAATAAAAAAAATTATTATTATTATTATTAGCCAGATATTTTTTAAATGTAAAATTTGTTATGTAAAAAAAAAAAAAAAACAATTTTTAGCATCATTGTCGAAGATGTGGAAGAATCTACTGCTCGTCATGCAGTTGTTACAGAATTCCATTGCCTAGAATGAGTTTTGTCGATCCTGTAAGAGTATGCAACAATTGTGCTGACATTACAGAACAAGAAACTGAATTTTTTGACAAAAGGATCAAAACCTTAACAAACGGTAAGTTTTTTTTAAAACAACATTTAGAAAAGGATTTTTCGAGGTGATAAGTAGGTATAAAATATTGTTTACAATTATTTGTAAATCTTTTTAGGTGCCACATTTTTATTAAGTCCCATAAGTAGTTCTTCTACGACTTGCCTTTGCATTTGCAAATTATCAGCAGATCATCAATACCTACAATTTGACAGTGCTGCCAATTTGCCACCACTGCCCCTGGAATCCATAACAAATTTTAATGTAGATCTTGATTTAGATAGAGGTAAGATGTGTTACTTCTTATAAATTACATTTAGAATTCATTTAATGAATACACACACACATAAAGAATCAAAATTTACACATTTATCACACTTCTGGCAATCGGTAAAAATTTATGCTTGCGGTTTTTATTAAAATTTATAAAATTAGTTTGTATCGATTTTCACTTTTAATTACAAGCTGTCATGTGAGAAATAATTAAGGTATGGTACTTTTCTTTTTTATTCTATTTTAACTTAAAGTATTAATTAGTTCTTTCTTAAAATAATAATAATAATATTAAATAGTAAGTTGAGTTGTAAGCATTGGGGTTTAAGAATAATTTAATTTTTTTTAAAATAAATATTTCAATGTTGGATTATAGGTAGCGGTTTTGTAGAAATATCATATGAAAATGGCGGATTTAGACTTTCGATAGGACCTGAAACGACAAAAACAAGAGCATTGGAATGGATAAAAGCTATAGATGAAGCATTTAAATTAATCGATGTGAGCGATAAAGTTCAGTGAAGTTATTATTATTATTTAATAATAATAATTAGTTTTCAATGGGTGCCTCATGAGCAAAAGTTTACTTAAAGAAAGTGAAAAATTTATCTGTGGCAATTTTTAACTGATTAATCTTTTTATTTACATTTTTATATATAATGAAAAAAAAGATTTAATTAGTATAAATTATAATATTTTAATAAAAATCAATCGCAAATAAGAATCTAAAGAAAAGTACCTTTCGAGGAAGGGAGGGAAGAAAGGTTGTAATTTTTATGAAAAGGTTAATCGTGCAAAAAAAATTATTATTACAATATAAAAATTTGGGTGATGTATTGGATATTTTTAATATCTACCCCCAAAAAAAATCATCATTTATAATATTTTGCCCTTTTTTTTTTTTTTTATATATAATGTTTATTTATTTTGTAAATATTGAAATCGAAAAAAAAAAAAAAAAAAGGAAAAACCTTGATAAGTTATTAAAGTAATTAATTTTTTTTTTTTTTTTTTGTTGTATTATGCAATGTATGTCAGCAATTTTTTTAGTGTATTTGGCAAAATTAAAGATGGGGTCAACAATGAAGAATTTGGCCGTGGGAAAATAATAATTTTATTATAAATTAATAATAACCTACGTGAGAATCAAAAGCGAAATTGGCGGTGCTTTGTTGAGTGTGAGTGCCGAGTACTAAATTTTCAAAAAAAGGAAAGTTTTCGATAAATGAATAATTAAATCATTTTATATATTAAAGTCTTTATTATATTGTTATTTAAATGAAAAAACAATATTACTGTAATCATTTATTTGTTATTTAATTAATGATATGTATATTGTAAGTTGCGACATTAAATCATTGGGACTAGTATGCAATCGAAATCTTTGATATAAATATGTCTATTAACCAAAGTGCTTATTTATATAGAAATCATTCAAATTATTATCATAGATTTTTTTTTTTATTTGTATACTGTTGTTATTCGTTGGAAAAAAAAAAAAAAAAAAAAAAAAAGATTATAGTAATCTGTATTTTTTGACAACTAACCAAAGAAATATTCAAGATATATTTATACATATATATATATATATTTAACACATTTATTTCATAATCTGTTTTTTTTTTTTTTTTCTAAAAATATATTTTAATTGAACATTAATTATTTAATTGTGCCTTTAAAAAGAAAAAATTTTAACATTTTGTATAACTTTTTATATCTATTATTAATTTTTTCACACCTTTTAAATCAATATTATTTTTAAAAGTGTTTTATTTTATTTTTATAAATTCAATATTCGTATTTAATTTTTTATCAATGACTTTTTTTTTGCAATTTTTAAAAAAGTTTTTATTTGTCACATAAATTATTTGTTTAAATTTAATTTTTTATAAAAAAAACATATAAATAAATTGTAATAAAATAGTTTCGCAGCGGTTATAAAAGAAATTTTAAACGTTTGATAAATTCGCGCCAGCAAAAAGTTGGCAGCACTGTCGTCGTAACGTAGCGTCAATGTAATTTTATAATCCGGATTTTAAAAATGTTCACTTGTTTTATCTGGTTTTTAAATATCTAGTTTAATGTGTCATTTTATTTTAAAAGTTTTATTTAATTAAATATTTTATTTTAAAATGTTTATTAGTTATTTTGTAGACTTTGACTGTTTAAAATTTAATTTTTTAAAATTTATATACGGTTTCGGTGAGTACGTATCAATTACGATACTTGTCAAATACCTTTGTTTCGTGGTCATTATGTGGTATCTCGTGAGATTTACTATTTAATTAATGTTAGAATTGTATTTCAGGTACATTTTGATAAATAATTTACGAAATACAATATTTAAGAAGACATGGAACGCCTGGAATCCGATACTGATACCAGATTAAGTAATTCTAATCATAAAATTAACGAAACAAGAGATGAACGTTCCAATGAACTTGAAGTAGTCAGTAACACCGTTAAAGATAAAACAAAATGTTTTATTACCATAGAACCTTTTATATTCTTTATATTTATTGCGGAAAATATTACAGGTAAGACTTGATAAAAATTACTTTGTATTTCAATCCGTCAATGTTTTCAATACAAACCAATATTAAATTATCAAACTTTTAATAAAATACAATTATTTTAATTTAAAATTTTTTTTACTTACCTTTTTTTTTTCGTTTTTGAATTTTCTTTATTTACTGTATAATGTAATTATTATTTTTCAGGCATCATGATGACAAATTATGTTATGTTAAAAACTTGCGAAAATCATTTTCACTTTAATCAATCCGTTTGCAAGAGCATAAATAATACCAATTCGAGTAACGTTGAAGCCTTGGTTCAACCATATGCATCTGCAATTTTAACTGGAATGACCTCATTTTCCACATTTATCCCTGCTGTCACATCATTATTTTTAGGTCCTTGGAGTGACATAAATGGCAGAAAATTATTACTTGTGGTGCCTGCTTTAGGTAAGTTGTGTTTATTTTCATTACATAATTTTAAAAAAAAATATTAAATTTAATTTTTTATCATAGGTTTTGCATTAAAAAATTTCCTGTTGGTGATATTTTCTATTATTCCAAATCTCCATCCGATGGTTACGCTTTTAACCATCATACCTGTCGCACTAACTGGAGGATTTGTTAATTTAATGGCTGCTTCGTTTTCATACATATGTGATACTTCGACAGAAGCTCAACGATCTCTAAGGTATGTGTGCCTTTTTTTTTTTAATTAACAATTTACAACTTTTAAACTTATGTTAATAATATGACAAAATTTCACCAATGTTTGATCATCGTTTATCATATTCGATGGATTAAGGTTTTCGTTTTTGCAGAATTTGTATTTTCGAAGCTGTTATTTGCTTGAGCAGTATAGCAGGTATTTTATTAAGTCCTCTCATAGTTAAAATTTCTAAAGGAAATGGTTATGTGATAGTGTTTGGATTATCAGCCGTTATAAATTTAATCGCTGCAGTTTGTGGATATTTTTTTATCGCTGAAACTGTCAAACCGAACAATGTGAGAGACATTGCTTAAAAATATTTTATTATATCGCAATAAAATAAATTTTTATAATAAACAATTAAACTTTTTATTTTACAGGATGATGAGAATAAAATAACTAATTTGTTCGATTTGAAATTATTAAAAGAAATATATTGGGCATGTTTTAAAAAAAAGGAAAATTTTAACAGAACGATAGTTTTTTTAGTTGTAGCTTCTTTATCATTTACAATATCCGTTTTGGAGGGAGAATCAAACGTTAAATATTTATTTACAAGAATTAAATTTAATTGGACGATTTTAGATTATTCCGAATGGGTATCCGCATCGGAAACATTAAATTTAATAGGTTAATGATGATGATGATGATGATGATATTGTTTTTTTTTGCACTCTTGTAAATACTTCGTGATCATTTCAGGTCTTTTACTCGGAAGTTTTATTTTTATGAAATATTTAAAAATAAACGACGTTTTCATAGCCATTTTAGCATATGTCACGCTCGCTTTAAGTGATTTATTTATCACGTTCATACCGTCCAACGCTTCGAAACTTTTATATTACGTGGGCCTCATAAAAATATTTGGCGGATTATGCGGTCCAGCAGGAAGAGCTTTAATTAGTAAATACGTACCGGAAAAGGATATAGGTATTTGTTTTTAATCGAATTAACTAATATTAACGTTGAATATTTAACGGAAAGTTGCTTAAATTTATTTTAGGTAAAGTTTTCTCATTGACAACAACGAGTGAATGTGTTTTACCGGTGGCCATAGCTCCTTTATACACGATACTATACAATTACACATTACTATCTTTTCCATCCGCCATATTTTTTTTAAGCATATCTATTTATGTGACCATAATAATAATTTACGCGTAAGTTTTTAAGGCACCGTTTTTTCATTTTCACGGTTTTTCATTCGAGGCACCGTTTTAAGAAATTTTTTGTTTTTTTTTTTTTTTTTTTCCTTCCAGAATTATTTATTTTACACAAATTACACCACGTATCGGATCGGATTTTAATAGTTTAATAAATGATGAGAATAACGAGGAGTAATTAATAATCACTATAACAAAAATTAAAACATAAATTTAAATTAATAACGATGAAAAAAAAAAAAAATAAAAAATAAGTATTAACTAAATTAATTTTTACTCTTAACCAAAAAGACGACAGCAGTATTATTTTTCATTAATTTTATTCAATAGCATCGTGCAATATATATATATTATCATACGTAAATATTTATTTAATCAATCGAATTATTATTATTTTTATTATTATTATTATTTATTTATTTATTTATTTAATTATTAAAATTGTGCAATAAATAAATTGTGATGGTTAACTTATATATATATTATTTATATGGTATCTTATACGTATAATAATCTCGTTATTATTATTATTATTATATTACATGTGTTAATTTTTATAAATATATAAAAAAAAAAAATTTATTAATAATTTAAAATTTTTTGGAGAGGAAAAAAAATATATATATAAATATTATTCATAACATTTTTTATTCATAGTATTATTATTATTATTATTATTATTACAACGGTATTATTATTATTATTATTTTTTAAAGGGAAAATTAACGATTTAACGTTTTGTTTATTGTGGAAATTGGATTTTAAAAAAATTTTAATTTATTTTACATATACTATATATTATAATACGTTTAAAGGGATTGTTAGAAAACGACGTTTTTACATAAGGTAATAATTATTTTTCCGTTTCTTTTTAAAATATGATAGAATAAATTCGCCACAATATATAAAGTCCCAGCAAATAAAGTAACGTGACTAAAGTGTAATGAGCTATAAATAATCTGTAAAGACAAAAAAAATTTAAAATGGGATTTAAATTAAAAAAAAAAAAAAAAATGGAACAATTAAATACTTTTTTGCTTTTCTACGGCCTTCCGGTAGCGTGCTCAAATCATCCTTAGCTAAATACACTCTTAATCCTTTTAAATAATTACGCAAATAAAAATTCCAATCCAATTCTTCTATGTTGAAAAAGAAAATTTCTTTATCTTTGTCCGACATTTTATTCCAGAGATTTGTCGTTGCTTTTTCTTCGAATTTCCACGTGTTTAAACAAAAATATGCTATTATTTTTGAAAATCTATGAATTTTTTCATAAGCTTTCATTAACCTGATGAAATAAATATGAAAATTGTTAAATTTTTTGTTAACATTTAAATATTTGATATTTTGTTTTGTTTATTACGTACATAGGTTTTTTTCCCATCATTCTTGCAATTGAATCCCCGATAATTGCTGGAATTATGTGATTGAAAATTTTCGTAACATTATATACATAAACATTCTTATGGAGTCTGGAAAAAAAAAATAATAATAATCATAAAAATATCGTTTTTTTGAACGCTAATAAAATAATAATAATAATAAATTAATATTTTTCTTACGTTAATGATGAATGCCAAAGCATTACTTTTGAATAACTTTCATGTCGGAATTCGTAATTTAAATCCAAAAATTTTCCCCAACTTATTGGATTTTTATTCGACGATACGTAATTCATAACAATTAAATCATCATTATCATTATCATTTGAATTATTATCATCTTTTACATCATCTTTCCATGTTAATTGTTCGAAATTTGGATTTTCATTCCTGAACAAAAAAGTATCATCATTATTATTTTTATAATAATTAAATTTAAAAAAAATTAAATTTTATTTATTTATTTACTTTATTTGTGCAACATCCCAAGCCATTGCAATAATTGCATTACAAACCATATCCACGGGTACCATATCGGCAATATTATTTTCATCGCATAAAAATGTTCTTAACAATCCGATACCCGCACCAAAAACGACACCTTGAGGACCGTAATAATTATTAACCCAATTTCTTAACGGTTCTCTGTACGTACTAATAACTAAAAAAAAAAATTTTATTATTATTATTAATAAAGTTTAATTATTTTATTTTTTCAGGTATATAAATTTAGACTAATCCAACCTATGCTCGGTCTAAATATGCCAACAGGTAATCCTTTGCCATATTCTTGAACTGTTCCTTCTGCTATGGATTTCGTAAATACGTAAGTATTTGTCCAATTATCAAGTATTCTAAAAAAAAAAAAACATAAAAGAATTAATAATAATAATAATAAAAAAAACATAAAGTTTTTGGATAACCCTTGCACTTACTGAGGCGTTATTTTATCTAATAAATCATCATCTATAGAATTAATAAGATCGTTCATTTTTTTATAATTATATTTGTGTTTAACAACTTTTTCTGGAATTTCTCTTAAAACGCAATTTGAATAAGCTGTTGAAACATGAATGAAAACCTTAAAAAAAAAAAAAAAAATAATAATAATAATGAAAGATTTACACGTTTAAATTTATGTATTTATTAACAAATTGTTTTAAAAATTAAATTAACACTCACTTTTAAATTTTTCATTTCTTTTGCCATTGTTAAAAAATATTTTGTCGAATTAACATTTGTTTTAAATGCGTGACGTAATTTTTCATCAAATCTAACGGTTGCAGCACAATGTATGACAATACTAACGTCTTTTATTAATTTTTTCCTATCTTCTGGTGATAATATTTCATCTTGACTAAGATCCGAATTGATTAATTTTATTTTTTCCATGCAATTTGGATATTTTCTCAATAGCATTTCGTATATCTAATTAAAAAAAAAAATTAAACTCATGTCTTCTCTTAATTGTAATAATTAAATTGAAATTTAATTACAATTCCATAAAATCATTGAGAGAGAGAGAAAATCATTGATAAGTTAAAGACTAATATTTTTCATATTAAATATTTTATATAAATTAATTTCGACGTTAATAATAATATTTCCTTTTAACTGTTTATTTAAGTTACGAAAAAAAAAAAAAAAAAAAAAAAAAAAAAAAACGTTAATTTAAAATTTTTTTTAACGAACCGGTTCTTTAAACTCTTCTTCCATTCTTTTTTCGATTGATTTTCCCTTTTTACATCTTAATAAAACGTAAATTGTTTTAATTTTCGGACATGATCTGTAAAAAAAAATTTAAAAAAATAAATAAATTTCTCTTATAAAAGAAATTTTTCTTTCTTTTTTGTGAAACAAGTTTATGTTTTACCTCAATAATTTTTCTAATAATATTTTCCCCAGAAATCCAGTTGCACCGGTTAATAAAATTGTTGAATTTTCATAAAATTTTTGTATTTCACTGGGTTGCAATGAATCTTTTATTAATTCTTCTTGTTTTATAAAATCTTCAACGAAAATATCTTGCCCTTCTAAAACAGTCATCTACACAAATGCAAAAAAATTATTATTATTATTACTTTTTTTTTTGTTGCAAACAATCAAAGTTTAAATCAATTTTTAAAAATTCACTAATAATTTATTTTTTCTTTTTAAATAACGGGAAAAACTATATGAAAATTCATTTCGAAATATAAAATAATTTTTTCCTTTTAAAATATAATTTTTTCTTATCGATAATTAATTGTAATTAACTAAATAAATTTATTTAATAAAGTCTTTCTCCATTTAAATCATTTCTAACGGTCGATCGTCATATTTAAAAAATTAACGGTTTTTTTTTAAAGAAAAAAGTATTATTAATATTTATTTATTTAAAAAAAATATTATTTAAATATTAAATACTTTCCTTCACAAGTTTATATCATTTATAAAACCGTCGTTTTTTAAAACACAAAATTATTATTTCAAAAAAAAAAAAAAAAAAAAAACAAAATGATTTTTCAAATATATCAATTACGTCGAATGATACGCGAACACTGAAATAATTTTCAACTTGTACTTTGTTCGCACTTTTTTTCAAATTTGAATTCAAACGAACGAAAGCGTTCCGGAACGCGAATCTCGTCGACCAATCAGAACCCGTTTAATTTTCAATAAAATTTTCCTAACGAATCTAAGTATTATAATTTTTGCTTAACGATTAAATTTCGTATTTTATGCAAAATATAATTATTTATATGTTAAAAAAGAAAATCAAATTATTTTATTTTAACGAGTATTTATTTTTTCTTACCTTGTATGCCTCACTTCAACCCGCTTTCTTCGTACCAGATTAAATCAAGGTAGGTCTATAACGTTACGTTTACTAAATGACAAATTCAAGAAAACCTTTTGCACTTTACAAAACGATATCGTCAAGTGAATAAAATTATCATTAATTGAAGTATTAAACCTAATATATCATTTCATCTATTCATAAATTGAATCATTAATTTCCTTAAAAAAAAAAGGGGGAACAAAAAAAAAATTACCTTGCTAACCTAGATAAAATTAACCTAGAGTAAGTCCTGCATAATTTACTTTCTTGTTTTTTTTTTTTTTTTTATAATTAATATTGATTATTATTGTTTGCATATGGAATCAGTATGTACAAGAACTAATATTGTTATTTTTTTAAATTTTAAATAAAAAGACCAATGGCATGACTAAAAAATTCTTTTTTGAAAATTGCAATCAATCATTACATTAATTTGGTTACCTTTTTTTTTTTATTTTTGCCAGTGATAATTATTAGTTTATATAAATATTTATATTATATTGTTTAATGATTATTTTCTTTTATTTAATAGTTAATCATCATCATCATCATCTTTGAAATAATTATGGAACATCTAAAAGAGTCATCAAGTATTGAAAGTCAATTATGTCATACAAAAAACATGGGGGGAAAAAAAGGTAAGAAAAATAAACATTAACTTATTTAATTGGTACAAAAGTTATTTATTAACATAATTTACTATGTTTGATACATTTTCACTAAAGAATAAACCCAAGACATTCAAATTCTAATCATCATCATTATTATTATTACATAACCAAAGGGTAATATTGCTTTTTTTGGTTTTTCATTACTAATAACAATTTGCATGAATTTATTATTATTATTTCACATTAGGAAAATGTTCAGAGTGGGCATTTATAAAAATACTAATTAAAAAATCTAATGAAATCATTTGGCCTAAACCTTACATTAATATTTAAATAGATTTCAAGTTTTTTTGTTGTTGTTGTTGTTGTTAAACAATAACACATCATTGTGATCAAATAAGTAAACATGAATAATTTAAATTTGAAATTTTTTTTTTTTATTAAATTTATTTGCTTAAACAATTTAATTTTTTTTTTTTTTCTTCAACAAGTTCTTGAAAAATTCTTGAAAGTAAATAAAAAAATTTTTTTTTTTTTTTTTTTAAACAATGATGTGTTTTGTTTTGTAAAGGATGATTGGACATTTTGCATAATTTTTTTATTTTACTTAATATGACTTAATGTTATTAAAGGTTGAAAGTATAAATATTAATTAAACATAACGAATAAATCAAATTAGTCGATTCTTTATGTATGAAAAAATTTTAAAATGACGAAATATGGATAGGAATTGTGTGTTTTAAAAATTTTCCATTATTATTATTATTATTATTTTTTCATTTCAATATGCAAAAATGGTCATTTATTAGTTTGCAACGAAACTTCAATCTTGACGTGGTTCCCTATTTTATGTACGTTCCAAAAAACAGGAAAAATTCTATTTAATTATTAAAGTTCTAAATAAACGTTTTTCTTCCAATATTCCAAAAATTTAAAATTTCTCATTGCAAATTACTATTGAAAAAGGGTCGTTTTTCCTTTTTTAAATAAAAAATTAAAATTTTTTTTTGTTTATTGTTAATAATATTGTAAGTAAATAATAAAAACATTAATCATTAACAAATATTATTGAGAAAAAAAATTATTTTGTTATAAACGTTTTTGTACGCTTTCTGCAATTTTCCTTTTATAACAAATTCACAAAAAAAAAAACAAAATGCTGATTATTTTTATTAGGTCAAAGGTTAAAATGGATGAATTTTATGGGTAGGAAAAGTAATTTGCAATAGAAATTAAACTCCTCATGATGATGGTGATGATAGTAATTATAAATTTAAAATAGTTTTATTAATTTCCAATTGTGACGTGCCTTTTCTTTTTTTTTTTTTTTTTAAATTTTCCCTTATACATTAATCAAAAATCATTGGGTGGGGGAGGGGAAGGAGAGTCTTTTGAAATTTCTATTCATTTTCTGTTTTTTTCTGCTTTCAATTCAATTATTACATTATATGTATACATAGTTAATAATTCAAGTAATGATTTACAAAAAAAAAACATAGAATTAAATAATATACATTTTAATTTTTTTTTTTTTATAATCACATGTAAAAAAAAAAACGTATCGACGACATTTTTTGCACATAATCTCAATCAATCATTCACTCTCATCTTTTACAAGGATTCAATTGTGCATGCACTTGAAAAAATTATTTGGCAAAATCCAAATAAAATCAATTCACATATTTTATAATTAATTTGTTTCTATTAGTGATGATGATCTTGCACGTGGAATTGTAATGCCATCTTTACCTTCTGTTCTTTGTAAAACTGAATCAACAACAATTAATTGAGATTCTTCTTCTTCATCTTCAAACAGAGACATTTTATGATTTAAATATGCATTGAATCTATATTTTCCATAACTCTAAAATCAAACAAAAAAAAAAATAAATTATTATAATTAATAAATGTTAACAACAAATCTTTTGCATTGCTCAATTAATTTCATTTGATATTTTTAATGTAATTACAATATATGTGTGTCCTTTAGCTGATAAATTTATCTGACATTAATTAAACTAACAATATTTAAAGGTAGTTATTTAATTCAATTTTGTAAATGTTAATATTTATTATTATTATTATTATTACCCAATAATCAAAATCAATCAATGCTGTCACTGAATTAACAACACTCCATATACCCCAATACATATGAGAAGCAAGTGTATATGCACGAATTTCTTTTAATACATCATCAACTTCTTCATCTGATACGTCACCATCAGATTTGTTTAATTTGGATAAATATCTTCGTACGAATTTTTCCTGTTTGAAACAACAACAACAACAAAAAAAAAAAAAAAATTATTATTATTGTTACTTTTTAACGAACAAAACCGTTGGTACATTAAAATCTCATTTATTAACTTATATATGTATACGTGATAAAACGTTTCGTATGATTCATCCACTTTTTACATCAAACAAACACAAAGAATATAAATATTAAAACTAATTTAACAAAATGTTGTAAAATGTAATGCCATACGTTAAAAATTTTTTTTGCTTATCTTGCATTTTTTTTTCATTGTTGTTTTATTTACTAACGGATTTCCGCTCATTTTAATACTTATCAAAGGATTTCTTAAAATTATGATGTATCAACTTTTTTTTATTGTTATCAAAAAGTATTATTATCTTGAAATTTTTCACCAAGTTGCAAAAAAAAAGTTGCAAAAAAAAAGTTGCAAAAAAAAAGTTGCATGAAAAAAATTTTTTCTAAAATCCAAATGTAATTTTTTGTATGTCGTAGTTTTAACGATTAACGCAAAAAACCGCCATTTTTTTTTTTTTTTTGAAAATTTTTTACGTTGGTAACGATGAAATCCGAAATCGCGACATTCTAGAAAGTTCCGAATTTCGATTTCGTTCGTTAGAACAATTTCATAGTTTCTTCTTATTGAATCAATACTTTTACGGATTTGAAAATTTATTTGTAATTATTTTTTATTTATTTATTTTGTTAAAATTTGTTTGTTATTTGGTTTATTTTAAATTGTAAACTCACTT